CCTAATATCTGTCACGTTCTACTTATCACACACGTGATTTACCTAACTTAATGTCATCTACCATTCTGCTAGATTCCTCAATTTTGCCGTTCATTATGACAGGTAATGGTACAGCTGTGTAAAAAAGCAGGCCTAATGACTTCTATTTTTAATGTTTATTTAATTTCAAAATACAGCGAATCGAGTGGCCGAGCGATTAGGCAGGAGCACCAACCATATCCATAAAATAATTTCGGCCCTTGTTTGACCAACAGGCTCACTAATGATTCCAGTGACGGAACAAGTTTTCTCGGAAAAGCACTATAAATCCAGTGGCGTATCTGAAAATTTTGACATGGGGTGATGGGGTCGGAAAGTATAGGGGTTCGATAAAAAATGTGGGTGGCGGGGTGCTAGCTGGCAAAATGAGTGGTGTTGTAGTTAGGGTGGGCGTAGGTAATATACTGTCTCTTATACACATCTAGATGTGTATAAGAGACAGGTTTGCAGTTTCGTGATACAGGAATATTTTTGGACGTAATACCTTGTCATTGTGTAAGAAGTGGATGAAATATCAATAAGAAATAATATAATAAAATATATTGTATGTAAGGCGTCGGTTAAAAAATCTCCTGAAAATACAATTTAATTTTGGAATTACTCTGTATATTTAGTCAAGCTATTAGCTTTAAACTGAAAATTAATCAGAATGTTCGTTGATATTAAACGGATGTATCAAAAATTGCCATTATATATTCATTAGACCTTGGAATTGGCTGGAAATCACATTTAAGGGATATAAGAAAAGAGCTCGATGCAGAAAACTATATATTGACACTCATACCGTCAAACCTCGATTAAAATCTCAATAACAGGATGTCTGAACATTTGTTTACATACATATAATAGAAAAACACAAAAAAAAAAAAAAAAAAAAAACCAAAAAAAAAAAAAAAAACAGGGTCACAAGTCGCAAGCCGCAACAATAAAAATCAAAACAAAAAATGCTCATCCACAGCCCAAGCAAATCAGTCAAGTAAACGTATGCAAATGTAATAAAGAGTTTTAAACCATGTTTAAACGAACATAAGCTTTGTAACTGCCTGTTACACCATGGAGTTATAAACACTATACAATACAAGCGATTGTTGTGGATTTCAGGAGTGGCGGGCAATGAAGGCCTAGTATCGTCGCTCATATCACGAACTAACACAATCAAAGTAGATTTTGTTAGTTCGTGAAATCACAGTAGCGCGTCAAAACGAGCGCGTATTGGTTGTCAAGGAATTTTGTATTCTTTACCACACAAAAAGTCCTTAACGACAGCAGCGCGTATTTTGACGCCCTTTTTTGATTTCACGAACTAACACAATTGAATTTAATTGTGTTAGTTCGTGATGTGAGCGATGGTATATTTAACAACTTTTAGCTTCAATATGAACATAAATATTCATAGTTAAACAGCACAACGATTATATAAAAGATATACAGATTTTTAGAAGCTTAACAGAGTTGAGTTAGGGTTCAAGAGAATTTTTTCCAATATGTTGCTTAAGCTTATACCTCACACCATTGAGGTAATTATACTACAAGCCTATCTGAAATTGGACGAAAAAGTTGTAATATAACGGGGGAATGCAGGATTAAAATATTATATTACGACAGTTAAAATTTCCTTTTTTGTTTGGTGTAGTCAGTTTTGTAGAAAGTTTTATAGAACACATTATAATCAGGAGATTAATTTTTTTTGTGTGTCTAGAATTAACTGCCTACGCTGTGGTAAATATATCAAAATAAATGGGATCAACTTTATGGAACATGATGGATTTATTTGAAATAACACCCGGCCCACGCACATGAAACGATTGGTAAGGGTAGCGAAAATTTTAAATAATTTTCTACGAACCTTCGACATTTCTGTCTTTTAAATAATTTATTAGCGTCAACTATGCATTTTGGTTAATGTCACTATCCAGATATGTTATTATGCCACTACATATAATATTTCTCGTTCTCTACTACTCTCACGTAAGAGCTTTCGTTTCTATACATTTCTGTACATGACATTTCAATTCCTTCTTCTTTTAACCAGTGTCTCATCCCAAGTCCTTTCTTTTGGAACAAGTAAGTCGCAGCAGTCGAAATTCTGTTATTGGTACATCAATTATTTTATAACTCCATGATCAATACTGCCAATTCATGAAGGTGGAAAGTACCGAGTTTGCACAATACAACGTAACATACCCGGAAACTTTGGTTATTAAACGTCTATACAAACAGAAATGCATTGTGACCTTATTAATTACGAGGGTGCACTCGCTTAACCTAGTATGTGAACGTCGCGATTCGTTTCGATTTAAAAAAGAACAATAGGCCTATGACCACTAAAATAAGATAGGTTGCATGGTTTTGAAAGCATTTTCATATTATTTTTCATAACATAAGTATATTTAGAAAACACTAAAATGAGATGAAACAGCAGTAGTTTTAATTGGTATAGGGAAATATCTTGTATTCTCTATAATTTTCTTTGAAAAACGTTTTCGCACTAAAATTAAATATACCACAACATATTTGGTCAGGGGCAGCTAAATCAAAGTTTTGCTATAACTCATTGAGAACCCGAAAACCGACTGTGCTTGACGAAAATCTAATGTTTGTTAACCGAATATGCCTGAAGCCCGAGTGTGCTTGAAATTCGACTGTGTTGAAATTTGCCCTTTTGGCGTTCAATTTATTAATTATTATCATGGTTTTTGTATGTTGCATAAAGCTAAAAGCAGCTCTACATATTGCGTTGTTTCAATGCTTCTGTGTTTTCCAATTTATTTTTTCCTTTTTGAAATTTGTTTGAACTTTGGCGTTTGTATTTTCAAATGTTTAATTAAATAAGGGTTTGGAACTTAAAGTGTAAAAGGGGAATGATAAATAGGAAATGTGGTGTTCTGTGTCTGTTCCCTTGATTGGAGACAGGGAGTGGTAATTAAGACATTGATTTGTACTTTCTGTGAATCTCTTAGACTTACAGATTTTTCATGTTTTGAATTTGTTTTCTTATCTTTTTCTTGGACGCAATGTTACATATGTGTGCAACTGTTGCAAAAGTGTCGCTTCCAAATAAAAAATAAAATATAATATATACAGTACAAGTATGATGCGTTTGTGTAATGGAAATAACATTTTAAAGATTCTATAGACCTATGATTGGTGTATAATGAAATCTACGAGCATATTTAGCAGGTGGGGGATTGGGGATCATGCATGCTGTATTTACCTGATGATTACTCCTCTATTTCAACCCCCCCCCCCCCCAAAAAAAAACCAATTTCAAATGAACGTCTCTCCTCTTCTGATTTTAATTTTTATTTATTGCAATGATACTTGTTTGACACTTGGTCCTCAAACTTCAAGCTTTCCAATTTTATGAAACTTACACGTACAAGTTGTTTTCAGCATTTAACTAACAAGCTTTGAAAAAATTAAAGGTTGAAATTATATTCAAGCTGAAATTCAAACTCTCCTGAGCATGACCTCGTTATTATTATTATTATTATT